TTTTTTTTTTTTGCTACGTTTTTACGAACCTGAACACGCAATAGCGGTTGAAGACGAGAGATATACTTGCAAACCTTGTATAAATAATGATGTTCAGCCTATCGTATTCGAAATAAGTATTAAAATACATTTAATTATCATGAATTCGTTTTTATTCCTCGTGATACGTTTTTATAAACTTGAATGTGTTTACAGCAGCGGTTCCAAATAAGATACATTTGCGAAACTTTTATAAATAATGCTGTTCAGGCTATCATACACGAAATGAGTATTAAAATACATAATCATGCATGTAATTATGTAGAAATAAGATTAGATTAAATTTATTTAAATTTAGTCATTTTTTAATTTAACCGTGTAAATAACAGGTGCCATTTTTTTGTATATTTAGCAGTGGGTCATCGACGACCCTCAATGGGTCATTTAGTCCTTTCACGATTTCCACTACGGAAAGATACGTTATCGTAAAATAGTTCGTAGCATCATCGATTGATTCGCAATTAATATCCCTCGCCCAATTATCATATCGCGGTTCACCTTTGACCTGAACATACCAGTCTCTTTCTATTCGTGTTAGTTGACACTGGTGATCTATCGAAGTCTTTTCTTTGTACTTGATACGAAAGTATAGTAGATAATTGACTATCGTTAATAATAGAGAGACATTTCTAATTATCAGTCTATAAGAGAGTGATAGATGCATTTCAAATAAAGAAAGGGATAATATTGTTTCTTTCCTTATTAGACGACTTCGAAAAGGACCAGGTTACTCAATTCGACATATATGTATAAAGAAGAGCAGAAGACAAAGAAAAGGCCAAAATGATTTCTAATCGTATTTTTAATTGTATTTCTAATCGAAATGAATTAAATAAACGTTTCCTACATAAATAGGAGAAAAATACAAAAACAGAGTAGAATTGGAATTTTTGTACCTTTACTCAATTGCTCCTAACTCCGGTATTTATTCATAGATTTAATTCAACAAACGCTTGTTTTCTTCGTAAAAGTGCGATCTATACGTAAACGATAAGAAACTGGACCTAATTTGTGAGTTTCTATTTTTCCATGGCGATCGAAGAAATTTTCGTGTTATTTTAGCCGAAATATCGAAGTTTCTCATATATATTGGCCCGTAACACTTAAACTATTGAACCGATTGGAAAATAATATCAGAAGCAATTGTTGGAAATTCGATTACCTATAATATGGCATCTTTCGCGACCTAATCGGACGTTTCTAACTCAAGATGTGGCCTAAAAAGTGATGGTATCTCACTTCAACGATTCATATTTTGAAAACCTATTCATAGAAAAATTTTTCATTGCGATTTTCGAGTTTAGCAGGCCAAAATACATAAGAAAAAATTTTGCGCCGTCGCCGGGAAGGTTGCATTGTATTTAACATGCTGTATTTAATAATTAAAACAAATTCATCAAGTGCTGGTAAGTAATAATACAGTTCAAATAGAAATTATTTCATTCTTTTCAGTGCATTTTCTCATACTTTCAAGCAATTTCATACTCTTTAGTACAGTTTTAACGTTTCTCGAAGTCGTTTATATATTTTTTCAAAAATTAATTTATTCCTGTCCTTCAAAAACTTGTCATACAATTCTCAATATGCAAGATTCTTCTGTCTAGATAAAAGTTGCGAGTAATGAATTCGAATACGTTACAGTAATGCAATAGTATTCCTATAAGACTGCTAGACACACGATTGTAAAGTATCATAATGAACACACGGCATTACGTTTCAGACCTAAAAAAAACTTAATAAGTTGAATGGATCGTGACGTAGCTACTTTCGCCTAATGGCAACGCCATTATTTTCCTTTCATTATTCACTTCGTGACCTATATCGTTCGAGTGCTTCCTAATTTCTTACCGATTCTTTTAGAATACCAGCGTCCAGTTCGATCGTTCGTGGGGTAATTTGTTTTGGAAGGTAGCATGATTGCTGACGCATTACTCATAATACACACGCAACCGTGCGTTTCCAGACTCATGATATTAAATGGGTTCGGGTCGATAATCAATGTCTTCGACGACGACACATTTTCTTTCAATTGAAATTTCGATTGATCGACACTGTGGTGGCCATTCTACTATCGTAGAGTTTGTACTGAAATACATAAAAGTATTACAAGTTGTTAAGGATATATTTCAGCTTGAAAATTAAATTTCAAATCACTGTAGCAATAGACATTCTACTATCATAGAGTTTGTTACTGAAATACACAAAAGCATCACAAATTAATGAAAAGACAAATTATTAATGATATTGTTTAACTTCACAATTTTTTAGCTTGTTACAGTACAAGTGATGACACAATAATGTAAGTGTTCTGTGAGATAAAAAGTGTCACCTGATAAAGCAAGTTTGAAGCACAAGATCTCAAGCGAAGTGGTTGATGGAAGACAGCTGGTGAAATGAGATTACGGACTTCCATCCCCAGACCTAATTTGCGCGCCTACAATTAAGACGTAAACGTGGTCAAAACATCTGTTGTTGGCTGACGTCTTTTGTTAACGGTACGTGACGACGTTACCTGCTTCAAATTGCTGGATTCTCCATCACCTCCCTTTTCTTTCGCAGACCAATTAACCCGTCACGTAGTTTCCCAGAAACCGCTACTCAACGGATCCTCCAACATGTCCATAGTTTTCATTCTTCGCTGAAACCATCGTTCCTTTCCTAATAAATATACTACAAAATATTTCGAGGGTGGTTTCGTGGTACGCAACTAAATATTACAAAAAGTAATACAGTTTATTGGTAACAATTCTTGTAAGTACATCTATACATATCTAATAAAATTTCAACAGTTTCTACAAACTCTTTAGAAAATTTAAACAATCTCTTTTTAGCTTAGGTTTACTTATTTCTTAAAATAAGGGTAGCCTAGATTTCGACGAGTTTCTATATGTGGCGCGTAATCTTTCCATAACGAGAGGTCCATCGCTGGAATGGCGTCGCAGCTTACGACGGGGTTGCTGAAATTAATAGAAACTTTTAATTGGATGGTCCTGGTGACAAAATTATAAGCTGCGTCGCAAAGTAGGAAACTTACGCGTCGGATACTTGTTGGAATCCCCTCGGTTGCATGTGGGTAATGTGATCACCATTGTCGCAGAACAGCCTGGATATGCTGGATTTTCGTATTTCATTCAGTTGCTCTGGGAAGATACAGATCTCAATATAAATTACGAATTTCCGATTACGTAAGTGGTTCGTTAGTGTTCGGGCGGTTCGATTAAGAGTGAGCGAGAGAGCGGGGATAAAAGGAAGGGAGCGTTTCGTTCTAGGCCTGATGGTGATGTTAAACGCAGCCGAGATGTTTGGAGATCAGTCGGGAATGGTTTATACAGAGAGAGGTCTAAAGATGTTGGAAGTCCTTGAAAAGGGTGGTTCGGGAGGTGATTTGAAGCAACTTTTTCCTTAGCGAAAATATTGTACGAGGCTTCGTTAAGGAGATATTAACAGAAAACCTCGAGCAATCAGAGCGAGGCTGTTTAGCGCGTAGCCTATGCTACTTCGGCCGCCAAGCGTGTATAGTCTATGCTACTTCAGCCGCCGAGCGCGTATAGTCTATGCTACTTCGACTGTCTAACGCGTAGCTTATGCTACTGCAGGTTTTCTGTTAATATCTCCTTAACGAAGTCTCGTACGACAATTTCGCAAAGGAAAAAGTTGTTTCAAATCACCCCGCAAACCATCCTTTTCAAGGATCTCCAACATTTTTGGGACACCCTAAAAGTTATGACTATACCAAGTGGTTCGACACTTAAATTTGAAATTTTTCAAAAAGTGGAGGCAATCGATTTGTGCTGTGAATGCCTCATATGTATTAACCCTTTGCACTCGAGGCCTATTTTTCTGGTATTTTTCTGATACCAGCTGGGTATCTACCACCTTTCTTACCATTCTATTGCCACGAATGCTAAGATTATATTAACTTTGAAAATGAGATCTCTAATTTGAGATTTGAGAATCAGGTCACCTTTGCCTCAACGACAATAATTTTATTGGCACTTCGAATTCCAAAGAAATTAATCTTAAAGAAAACCTAAAGGAAACCTAGTGGTGACTGAGAGTCAAGTGCAAAGTCCTTTCGAATGCAAAGGGTTAATTATTTATTAACTATTTGGTTAATAAATAATATTGGGAATATTTACCTATAGTGAATGCTATATCGTGGTCGCTCCTTTCGAACCAATAGCGATCAGCCACGCGTGTTCTATAGAACTGTGTAGTAAGAATACATAAGAACGTTGGACCAGATAGTGTTCCTGGCACATGTTGCTCTAACGATCCACCTACAGTCAGCTCGACGTCTTCAGGGCTGGCGTACATGTTAGATAACTTTTGAATATTCTGCAAACAGAGAAATAATCGTTTATAGCGATGCTAATTTTATATT